GCACCGACCTCGGCGGGGGACACGCAGGGCAGAGCCAGCCCCGCAGCACGCCAGGCTCCCCACAGAGCCTTGCCTTGGGCCAGCGGGCGCCTTCCTCCGGGCACTCCCCGGGGTTCTACAGCTCTGCTCTAGGCTCAGCGGCACGCTTCCCAGGTCGCCAGACCTCGGACCAACTCTAACTCCGTCCTCCCCAGCACGCTCAGGAGAACGTCAGCCAAATAATCTTGAGGGCAGCTGGGGAAGGCTGGCAAAGACGGAAGCAATGAAAGAAAGCAAAATCATCTCCAGCCCTTGGAAAACTCGTCTCGATTCGGAATTCTTTGGTGCAGTAGCCAGCCCGCCTCGGCCACGCAGCCAGCCCTCCTTGGCACCTGCGCAGTGACAGGAAGGTCCTTGCAGCTTTGTTACTGCGAGTTTTGCTCAGTCTCCGGTGAAGTAAGCGCGCGTGTTGTCATGGTGCTGCAGCTCCGCTGTCCCCTCTGCTCTGCCCCAGCCGCCCGGGGCCACGATCCTACAGCCCCAGCAGCAAGGCAGAGAGAGGGGTGGTATGGGGCGATGAGGAGAGGATGCCCACGCGCTGTCCGAGCGCTCTGACCGTGAGCAAGGGGCACGGGATGGCTCAGCAGCACGATGGCGGCCTTTGAAACAGGAACTAATCCCAGAGATGAGAGACAGCAAAGCCCAGGGGCCTGGGTGGCAGCCATGGGGATGTCAGAGGCCAGTCCTACATCAGCAACCATCAGGACTTCTGCCAGCACAAACACAGCCAGGCAGCAAGCTCCTGACCAGGTCACGGGGTTACAGCAAGACCTATTCGGGCTCCAGCCTCGGGGTTTAGCAACATGCGTTACCCAGACTAACATCACGCCAAATGAAAACTCACTGGGTGGCTGCTACCTCCATCCCCTTCCTCCTCTCCACACCATTGCACCCCTCAGCACCAAGAACCACCTGGCTACCCTGCAGAATCACAGAACGTTTGGGGTTGGCAGGGACCTCTGTGGGTCATCCAGTCCAAACCCCCTGCC